GGAGCTGTCATTCACCCTATCCAGTCCGCTCAGCTATTCAATGAGATCACTACTGTTCTAATAAATCTCAACTCCACTTTCCTGCTTTTCCTCCATAACGTGAGGAAAATTCGAGCCCAATCACAACATCGTATATTCGCGTTATTTTTCGCAAGTTTAGATTACTTTAATGGCCTGTGTGTGCTTGCAGAAATTTGAATAATATGAAACGAGCGAAAAAGCTCTTCCTGCAGTTTAACCCAGTGCAGAGACAACCATATGAGAAAGTTCAGAGAGCGAAAATATTACCTCCATTTCTCCCTGCACAGATATCTCTTTACGGGTTGAATATTTGCAGCATTTTTCTTTATAATTGAGACATTTTCACGGACACATCCTCCCTCAATCCACAAACATCTGTGCTGCCAAAAACTATTTGCTTTAGATTCAAATTGCTTTTCCAAATCCTGATGTTCCAGTAACCCTTGGTCCATGTCAATTAAAGCTGCTCCACGCGTTTATTGCCATCCCCGTTTCCTGTTGTATCTTTGCGGCTGGGCCACTGAGTTTCTCTGGTTCCGGGCCTGGGAACTGGGATTATATGGTCATCTGCAGCAATTGGTTACTTCCTTGTGTGAGGGAACTGGTGAAGTAACCGATGTTAAACTGCATTTCTTTTTGTTAAATGCATTTTCAATAGTTTCCTGCACTATTTCCTAAACGTGTGATGTTTTGAAATTTCAGTCTTGAACAGACTCAGTGACTGACCCTCCCACAGCCTCTGGGTCACCGAATTTTAAAGTTTCACCCCACTCTGACCTTCCCACAACTCCGTCCGTTATTTGGCAAGTATTCCTGTAGTGGAAAATTCATTATGTACATTCTAAAATATGAACGTGATGTGGAAAACGTGGGTCCATTGGCGAAATTGGTCAGCACATGATAATTATATGACAGTGCAGAGGCCTGTGAAATCCCCGTTATGAGTTCGAGCTTCACGTGGATTAGTTTGTATTGACATGGGCACAGTACGCTAAGAATAAAGGCCATGCTGAGCAAATTTGACGTTATTGGAAAGAGTCAGCTTCTGTGGATTGGAAACGAAATTTTCGGTGGGAAATATCTGATTTATCAACAAATATCCGGCACGTATTCAACGCGTGTTGGAACATCTGCGAAGAGAGAACGGAATGTGATGTTTCAGCTCGATCACCTTTATCACGTGGCTGACCCTGCATTGGTCACACTCTGGGAAAAGAAGAGTTGTTTAACCTGTTTCATATGACTCAATTTGCTGTTAACTGGCAGAATCTATGACAAAAATAAAAGAAAGGAATTAGATTTATTTCATTACACTGTTTGAATGTTGCCTTCAACTTCTGTCGGAAATCATTGAATTAAAGTGCTGCTGAGAACAGAGGTTTGAAAATACATAAAGACAGTCTACTTGGTGGATTTCTTCTGCGGGAATCAGTAAGTATGAAATGGGCGCAAAATCATGTTAAATATGGTCAAACCTTTAAGGCACAAAATAAAATCAGGACTTGCGGCTCCGCGAGACAGTTCACTTCCTGATTATTCGGGTATAACTTTACTTTCCAATTAAAAAAATCTCTGTTCCATTTATAATGCTTCACAGGGAATCATATGCCGCACGTTTCAAAACCACGAGAATTTTTACAGTCGATGCTATTCAGCTGCATTTGTTCACGAAATTTATTTATAACTAAATTTACTTTCTGCAATTTTTAAAAATCCTGCTCAGTTGTTTCGCAATTTATAATGCTTCACGTCAAATAATATGCCACACCTTCCAAAACCATAAGCATTTTTATAATCAGTTTTAATCAACTGTTCATGAAAATTCTTCACATCTGAATTCATTCAAAGTCAAATTGATTCCCCACCCCCGCCCCCAAACTCGCCATTCCCCCCATCTCTCCCACCTAGCCCCGGCCACAGACTCTCTCCCCTTGTTAAATTTACTCCTTGTGTGTTTGCTCATAAGCCTTTGAAAACATTCTGGAATCACCGACTACCTTTTTCCTGGAATATTGTGCGGATTTAAATACCTCTATGATGGAAAGAAACTCTGCTACAAGATTTCGTTTAGTATTCACCGACGCTTTTGAATTTCCGACCTCTCTGACTTTGATTCACTCGAAAAAGGGAATTTTCATCTTATTTGGAAACTCTGAACCTCACGTCATCTGGGAAATCTCTATGAGTTTCCTTCCTAATTTTCCCTGTGTCAGTTACAACATTTCCAACTGCCCCAACAGCTCCTACATATAATCCTGCAACTTTTCCGCCACCCCCATAAAATCCGTCTGCATCCGTTCTAATGACTTTATATCCCAGTAGACCCCATCTGTGTCTTTTGTAATCTCTTTACATGTTTTGGTGAAGAGTGCGGATAAGGAGTTCACACAATGCTCCAAGAACAACAGACGTTACAGGTGTAGTATGATCGCGACCACCTCCCCGTGGGGCTTCCAGTGCTGACTGGGCAGTAAATACCTTCAGTAAAAGTAAACGTGGACCTGAGATCTAAAATATTCAAAAATAACTACTCTGCTTATTGTGTATCATCTCTCCATATTCGTGTCCCCTTTGTACGTCACTTTGTGCTTCCTTGTATTGAATTCTACTTAATGATTAATTTATTAATTAAGACATTTTCCTCATCTCTCATTATTCTGAACTCTATGCAGCACTAACTGATTTTACTTGTATGCTCCTGGAACACAGTCTTCTCATCCCTGTGATGAATCAAATGGACATTTCTGATGTGACCTCGAAGGCAAGTATTTCCTTCTCTAGTTTAGGGAAATCATTACTGCAACGAACTGCATTTGTGTGTTCATTGCACCCAAGACAATTGCAACAAGACTTTCATATTCAGCTTTCACAATCTGATTCCAGCTAAGGTTGACCTAAAAACTGCATTTCTCAGTTTCATTTGCCTGTGCACAGTCACCTGTACTGTATCGCATACAATGACATTCAAATTTGTCTGAGCACACCGTTCCAAATATTTCAAACAATCTGACTCGTGCGTACCAAACTGGTAGAATGCCGTAGTTCAGCCACACATGGACACTGCAATGGTGTGGTGGTTTTTGGAAAGGCCCTGCTCTCATAAACTGGAAATAATGATATTAATCCCCGATTCTACCTAGCATCGGTTGTCACTTGCTGAACCAAAGTGTGTGCCTTTGCCAACTATTGGACTTTAGACCCTTGTCATTCGACCGCTGCCCCATTTAAAGCAGTCCTTTCATTTTAAGTCATGGTACCACATAATCTTTGGTAATTCTAATGATGGTATAAATTGGGCAAGCCAGATTGCCGAATAAAGTTTGAATGGTGATTTGATGAGGTGTTGTTGGGGCAGTTAATTAGAACAGTACTTTCCAGAAGCAACGAGAGAGCACTATATCTGGTAGTATGCAATGGCACAGTTTTCATTATTGACCTCAGAATGAAGACGCCCCCAGGTAGCAATGATTACACTGTGACCGAGACTTATATTTACTTTGAGGAAGGGAAGGTTGGTCCTAAGATGAGGGCTTAAAACCCAAGTGAGGAAAATGGTAACAGTACGAACATAAAGTTGTCTGAAATGAAATGGAAAATTAGGTTTAAGAGCTAGGTCAGTAAATTTGTAACGGCAGGCATTTAAGGAGGTAGTTCAGAATGCTCGAAAAAGCTACATTGCAGCCAGAAAAACTTGAAGAAGATGAAGCACCATCTATGTCTAGGGAAGTAATGTAAAGATAAGATGAGCTTGAAATAAGAAGTGTTGATTTCCACAATGACATTCATATTCAGACATACACACACAGGTCAGATTGTTTACGAGAGCACGTTATATATGCCGCCTTTTCCTCTGTGCTATCAGTTCTGAAGAAGAGTCTTTGGACTCTTCTTTCAAAATGGCACTGACACCATGTGACTCTTTGCGACATCTCTCGAGCAGATCTACCTCTAACATTTCTTATTAACGTTCTACACTTTTAAGCTTAAATCTGAATCTGTAAAATTACTAGTAATGTTGTTTTAAATCTACTTTCTGGTTTAAGGAGCTACGGTCATCCAGATCCGAGTACTGACGACACTTGACTCGCATGATCTTGCTGATCTTGCTAACGTTGATCTCGCCTAGTGCACGCCCTGTGCAGTGTGACCTGTATGCCTCTGTCTACGTATTTTTACAGGCTCTGATCTGTACATTCTTGCTTGCTATGATCTGCTTCTCCAGCTCGTAAACAGTTTTTCACTGTACACCGGTACACGTGACAGTCAATCAAAACATCCATCATATCCACAGATGATGACAGTCGTGCTGAATTTCTCCAGAAATTTCTGCTTTTGTTCGGAGAACTTTGTTCCATTCTGATCGGTAGACTGCAGGAACAGTGTAATTGTACTAGCGGGCGTCCAGAACAGATTCACGAGGATATTGCCGGGCTGGACCATTTCCTCTGTGAAAATAAACGAGCTGGTCTGGAGTTGTTTTACTGAGAACAGAGAAAACTCAGTGGGGAGCTGATTAACTTGCACAAAATTATGAAGGGGATACATTCGCGAGATTGGACTAAACTTCATCTTGTTGAAAAGGATGAATGACCATCGCTAAAGATTAAAAGCAAGGAGCAGAAGGTTTGGAGGAGATTTAAGGAAGATGTGTTTTTCCCCCAGAGAGTTCTGGGTATCTGGAATTCACTGCCTGAACGCGTGGTTAAGCTAAGAATCATCAGAAAATTTTCGGAGTGTTTAGATGATCACTTGAAGTGCCAAATCACACAAGGATAGTGTGGCAAGTGGGACGAGGACAAACAGATGTAAAAACAGAAGTTGCTGGAAAAGCCCTGCAGATCCGGCAGCATCTGTGAAGAAAAATCAGAATTACGTTTCGGGACCGGTGACCCTTCTTTCCGAAGAACAGATGTTTGATGAAAGACACGAAGATAATGTTCCAAAGCCGACATTCTGTACTTAAACTCATGAACGAGTGGGGCTCTGTGGCGCAATGGACAGCGCGTTGGATTTCTATGGGCTTATATCGTGGTGCTATTCAAAGGTTGTGGGTTCAAATCCCACCAGAGTCAAATTTTACAGATAGCAGGAGCTGCCAGTCCTGGAGAATCTAAGATAACAAGGTGTCAAGCTGGATGAGCACGGCAGGCCGAGGAGCAGGAAAGCTGATGTTTCGGGTCTGGACTCTTCATCAGAAATTGGGGAGGGGAAGGGGATTCTGAAGCCAATCGAGAGAGAGGGGGAGGTGGATGGGAAATGGGAGATGGATAAAGGAGCAGATAAATTGTGCAGAGCAGCAGGTACTTCACCCTGTTCTTCCTGAAATGATAAACAACTCAACTCAAAGAAAGAAATTAATTCAAAATTTCAGCAGAAATCAAGAAGGGTCCAGACCGGAAACGTCAGCTTTCCTGCTCCTCTGATGCTGCTTGGCCTGCTATGTTTATCCAGCTCTACAACTTGTTGAATTTTAGTTCACGTTTGACAGAAGTCAATGACCTGCAAAAGCAGATTCATTGTCACTCCAGGCTCCACTTCTGACCAGATGAAGTTCGTCAGATTTTCAGGTTCAGCTTTCTGGGAATAATACCGTTTGAAAGATAATCAGACCAGAATCGATTGCTCATTGGACAAACCTGCAATGTTTGTGGAGGAGCCCAACTGGTTCGCAACACGAACTTTCCCTTCCACAGTTGACATTTTATTTTTGATTGCAGAGATTGACAAATGTCTGGATTCCCAATAGTACATAGAGTTGTGTGTATGGGGTGGGGTAAGTCATTGAAGTGTTAGATCAGCCATGGCTGTATCGAACAGTGAGGCTTGTTCCCATTTTTCAGTGATGTTTCTGGCGGAGAGTTTTAAACAATAACGGGATGACGACAATGTGAATCGACAACGCCGAATATTAACTCATCGACTTTACTCCACTCCTTGCAGAGCTGAAATGTTCTAGCTTCAGATCAGACAGTGGAAGATTTGTTGAAAAAAAAATCAGTTTCTCTGCCCTTCTGCATTGATTACATTATTTGCGAGAATTGTGTAATTTAGGATTTTGGAATTGTCCACTCTGTGCAAAAGTGCGGGTCATTAATATCTGTCCAGAAGAGAGGTGGTCCCAAGACTGACGCCTGGGAAGAGCACTGTGCACTCTCCTCGAGTCTCGGAGGTAATTCCTCACAGACAATGTTACGTCCTCACTTTCATGGGGCGTTTCATTCCATCGGCTTCAATTCTTCACCAAACTTGATTCAACAGATTTGTCACTGAGTAATTTCTGTGTTGACTTGCTCGCCGAGCTGGCTTGTTTTTGTGGAGACGTTTCGTCACCGTGCTAGGTGACATCATCATTAGAGCACGGGAATTCCTGGAAGCGTGGTTCTCCACCCGCAATGCAAACAACAAACATATAGAATTGGACCCCATATACAAACCCATACAGACCAAAACCAAAAATGACACAACTCACCATAATGGACCAGACAGTATAAATTCCAAGCAGAGTACAATAACGTTGCTACATCGGAGGCTCCACCGATGATATCATCAAGCATGGTGACGAAATGTCTGAAAGAAAACAAGCCAGCTCAGCGAGCAAGTCAACAACCTCACCCACAACCCGAGCTACAGACCTTTGTTGAAACTTTAAAGTAATTTCTTTCTTTGTGTTGAGTTGTTTATCATTTCACTAGCAACAGGGAGAAGTATCTACTGCTCTGCACAATTTACTCAAATGTTTTCAGAAGCAAGTTAAACCATCTCAGCTGTTTCCTGTTATCTGTAACAGAATCAATCTCTCAAAATGATTTTATTGTCACGTGGGCCAAGGTCGTAAATTATGAAAAATGCTCCAGTAGAGACTGTCCACTCACACATTCCGTTTTCTCAACAGGAGCTGTCAAGATGATGGCGTAAAGTGCCTTCTCGCATTTTCAATCACTCTGGGATGGTTTGAAAAGTAAAACTATTCTTTGAGCTGGGAACAGCGTGGTGAAGTTTATACACATCAGGTGCAGTGTGCCTGAGGCACAGAGCTCGCCGTAGTAACACTCCGAGCTGATTCAGGCAGCAGCGACCTCCCTGAGACATCGAGAAGCACACAGATACAGTTCCCCCAAATTGGGAGAGATTCTCTTTTTCCAAGCAGCTCTGCATTTTTAACACTGTATCTGATGCAGTAGTTTGGACAAAATTCCCAAAAGAATGTTAGTTCCTGTGCATGCGCAATCTCCCTTTTGCACAGCCTTGCATACTTTCCATACATCCCACTCCCAACACTCCTCTCCCCTGCTCTGCAAGCCCGTGTTTGACAGGGAGCTGGAGAGCGCATTCGTGCTGTTCTCCCGCAGCAGTGCCTGCTAATGGAATATGGCTTATTCCAGTCACCATTGGAGAGTGCCCTGTCCCGGAGGAAGCGTGCTAACGCAGCCTCTTGGGAGCAGGTGGTCAGAATGGGAAGAAGCTGTTATTAAAACTCGGTGCTGCATTTACATCCCGAAGCAGCAAGAATATCCTTACTTTACAAGAAAACTCACCTTATTTTGCTGTTAACGGCACTGCACTGTCGCTGGTTCATTGGTCTAGGGGTATGATTTCTGTTTCATGTGGATAGCATAACGAGGAGCAGCTCTGGGATTCGAATCGCCGGCGTTTTTGGGCGTTCAATGTCTTGCTCCATTCTTCACTTATGGGGTTTAGTTTCGATGGGATTGAGTTTGAAATACCTCAGTCTCTTTGCGGCGAATATATCGCATATGGAGAAGCAGGTTTTAAAGAACATCTGCTCGTGCTCAACGGACCTTATTACGGGTGGTGCAAAGTCCTAAATAAACGCTACTCTTTTATTCTTCTATTTTCTAAAGTGCCAGTTCCCTCAAAACAGTTTCTCACTGTCTGCTTTATCTTGTCGGCTTCAACTCGCAGACGAGTCCCGGTTTCTCACTTCACTTTTGCCACAATGCCCGATCAGCTTTCTGTCAAACCAGCTTTGTTAAATGATGTCAGATTGCCTGAAGTGTGGATGGGGCAGAAGTACCATTGTAGTGAATAAGGCAAATGGAAACACTCGTTCAAAGTCAAAACAAGTGTTTCAGGTTGTTCGCCCATGCAATCTGACTCTGAATGAATCCTCCAGCTGCATTATTGCTCAGTTCTGGGAGTGAAACTTCCGGAAGCGGGGATGTGAAGTGATTGGAGACAGCGCTGAACAGATTGACTTGAATGATGCCGTGGATGAGGAATGTCAGCAATGAAGATAGATTGGAAAGTTGGGAAAGCTCTCCTTGGAGAACAGAAAGCTGAAAGCTGGTCTCTTTGAAACTTTGAACAGAGTGAGAGGTTCTGTAAATTACTGCCCGAAATTATCCAAGACACAGATTCAATTGATACAAAAGGGAATCCGCTGATTATTTTTAAAGTAACAATGTGCAGGGTTACACGGAGAAGGCAAGAGAATAACATTAAAAGAGACCAAAAGAACTGCGGATGCTCTAAATCAGGAACAAAAACAAAGTTGCTGGAAAAGCTCAGCAGGTCTGGCAGCATCTGTGGAGGAGAAAACAGAGTTAACGTTTCGGGTCCGGTGACCCTTCCACAGAACTGATGGTGGCTGGGAAAACGTCAGTTTATATGCAGAAAATAGGGAGGTGGGTGGCGTAGGGAGTAAACGATAGGATAGAGCCCAAAGAGAGAGAAAGATAGTTGGATAGACAAAGGAATGGCTAACGATCAGGCTGGGAGGGAGAATAGTTGTTAATGGGAACTGTTAGTGACTATTCTCCCTATTCTCAGAAGATTGCAGGTTTGAGTCCTACCTGGCTCGAGCACAGCTGATGCCCTTTCTATCCTTGCAAATTGACATATGCTTCCAAAGAGGAATGTGTGCTGGACCTTTTTGTTGTTAGCTTCCCAGGAGCTGAGGTAATTGGAAATTAAAAGTTGCACACGAAGAGCATGTGGGGCCATTTGAGCTCATTGTCTGTTTCATATCCGAGCTAAAAAACAACAGTTCTCATTGTCTTGAGAATTTGCTTGTGTTCTACTTAAAGCTGCCTTTTGTCGGGGAAAGGTGTGTGGGGACGGAGAGTGAAAGTGAAGCACATGTAGCCGCTGTAATCCTGAGACCTCTGTCACCCTCCGGGAGACGTCTGTATATCTCCCCCAGTGGCTAAAAATGAGGATGAGCCCCTTAAGTGGGTTGTAACACAATTGCACTACCACGAACCCTCAGTCCCATCAGTTGATTACAGAGATAATCTCATTGAATTTTCTCTCGAAACATCACACAAGGCCATGGGCAAATTCTGGAAACTGGGGCCAGAATAGATGGATGCCTGTTGGCACGCACTGACATGATGGGCCGAATGGTCTATTTCCACGCTATAAACATCGAAGGCAGGGAGAAACTGATCTACAGCCGAACTGAGCAAAAATGGAAAAGTAAAAGCAGTTTCATTCAACGAGAATCCCTGTGCCTTCCATTGTAGTGAAATAGTTCGAATGTGGTACTTTCACCACCGCGGCCTTGGTTCGATCCCGAGTCAGGGATTGCAAGTTCGCCTTTGCTAGCCTTTCGTGACCGCAGCACTGCTGACTGGTTTTCGAAAGCAGCTGCGAGGAAACCTATTTTATCCCAAACGACGTTCAAGCTAACCAGCAGCAAAGAACTGCCGTAGTTGGAAATCTAAAACAAAAAAATGCATTGATAGATAACCACAGCAGGTCTGGCAGCATCTGTGGAGAGAAACAGCGTTAATGCTTCAGATCCACTGAGTATTCATCAGGACCAGGTTAGTTATTCACTTCTGTATTATAATGTCAGTGAAATTATCACTTTTATCTGTCGAATCAGCATTTTTATCAAAATATCTAATTAGTTTCCAACCGTCAACTTTACAACTTTAAAAGCAAGCAAGTTCTCCAGACAATGAGAACTTTTAGGGTAAAAGTTAAGCAGAACATCGTGGGCCGAAAGGCCTGCTCTGTGCTGTACTGTTCTATGTTCTATGTTCTAAAAGGACTTTATCGACTCTAATGCTGCTTCTGTTGCCCTGAGGTGGGGAAAGGTTCTGCT